ATCTTTTCTGACCACAGTGCAGTAAGATTAGATCTCAATTACAGGAAAAAAATTATTAAAAATTCAAACATATGGAGGCTAAACAACACGCTTCTGAATAACCAACAAATCATAGAAGAAATAAAAAAAGAAATCAAAATATGCATAGAAATGAATGAAAATGAAAACACAACAACCCAAAACCTATGGGACACTGTAAAAGCAGTGCTAAGGGGAAGATTCATAGCATTACAGGCCTACCTCAAGAAACAAGAAAAAAGTCAAATAAATAACCTAACTCTACACTTAAAGCAACTAGAGGAGGAAGAAATGAAGAACCCCAGGGTTAGTAGAAGGAAAGAAATCTTAAAAATTAGGGCAGAAATAAATGCAAAAGAAACTAAAGAGATCATAGCAAAAATTAACAAAGCTAAAAGCTGGTTTTTTGAAAAAATAAAATTGACAAACAATTAGCAAGACTCATTAAGAAACAAAGGGATAAGAACCAAGTTAACAAAATTAGAAATGAAAATGGAGAGATCACAACAGACAACACTGAAATACAAAGGATAATAAGAGACTACTACCAGCAGCTCTATGCCAATAAAATGGACAACTTGGAAGAAATGGACAAATTCTTAGAGAAGTATAACTTTCCAAAACTGAACCAGAAAGAAATAGAAGATCTTAACAAAACCATCACAAGCAAGGAAATCGAAACTGTAATCAGAAATCTTCCAGCAAACAAAAGCCCAGGACCAGATGGCTTCCCAGATGAATTCTACCAAAAATTTAGAGAAGAGCTAACACCTATCTTACTCAAACTCTTCCAGAAAATTGCAGAAGAAGGTAAACTTCCAAACTCATTCTATGAGGCCACCATCACCCTAATTCCAAAACCAGATAAAGATGCCACAAAAAAAGAAAACTACAGGCCAATATCACTGATGAACATAGATGCAAAAATCCTTAACAAAATTCTAGCAAACAGAATCCAACAACATATTAAAAAAATCATACATCATGACCAAGTGGGCTTTATCCCAGGAATGCAAGGATTCTTTAATATCCGCAAATAAATCAATGTAATATACCACATTAACAAATTGAAAGATAAAAACCATATGATTATCCCAATAGATGCAGAAAAAGCCTTTGACAAAATTCAACATCCATTTATGATTAAAACTCTCCAGAAAGCAGGAATCGAAGGAACATACCTTAACATAATAAAAGCTATATATGACAAACCCACAGCAAGCATCACCCTCAATGGTGAAAAATTGAAAGCATTTCCCCTGAAATCAGAAACAAGACAAGGGTGCCCACTCTCACCACTGCTATTCAACATAGTTTTGGAAGTGTTGGCCACAGCAATCAGGGCAGAAAAAGAAGTAAAAGGAATCCAGATAGGAAAAGAAGAAGTGAAACTCTCTCTGTTTGCAGATGACATGATCCTCTACATAGAAAACCCTAAAGACTCTACCAGAAAATTACTAGAGCTAATCAACGAATACAGTAAAGTTGCAGGATATAAAATTAACACACAGAAATCTCTTGCATTCCTATACACTAACAATGAGAAAACAGAGAAATTAAGGAAACAATACCATTCACCATTGCAACAAAAAGAATAAAATACTTAGGAGTATATCTACCTAAAGAAACAAAAGACCTATACATAGAAAACTATAAAACACTGATGAAAGAAATCAAAGAGGACACAAACAGATGGAGAAATATACCGTGTTCATGGATTGGAAGAATCAATATTGTCAAAATGGCTATACTACCCAAAGCAATCTATAGATTCAATGCAATCCCTATCAAACTACCAACGGTATTTTTCACAGAACTAGAACAAATAATTTCACAATTTGTATGGAAATACAAAAAACCTCGAATAGCCAAAGTAATCCTGAGAAAGAAGAATGGAACTGGAGGAATCAATCTGCCTGACTTCAGACTATACTACAAAGCCACAGTCATCAAGACAGTATGGTACTGGCACAAAGACAGAAATATAGATCAATGGAACAGAATAGAAAGCCCAGAGATAAATCCACGAACCTATGGTCACCTTATCTTCGACAAAGGAGGCAAGGATATACAATGGAAAAAAGACAACCTCTTTAACAAGTGGTGCTGGGAAAACTGGTCAACCACCTGTAAAAGAATGAAACTAGAACACTTTCTAACACCATACACAAAAATAAACTCAAAATGGATTAAAGATCTAAATGAAGGACCAGAAACTATAAAACTCCTAGAGGAGAACATAGGCAAAACACTCTCCAACATAAATCACAGCAGGATCCTCTATGACCCACATCCCAGAATTTTAGAAATAAAAGCAAAAATAAACAAATGGGACCTAATGAAACTTAAAAGCTTTTGCACAACAAAGGAAACTATAAACAAGGTGAAAAGACAGACTTCAGAATGGGAGAAAATAATAGCAAATGAAGCAACAGACAAAGGATTAATCTCAAAAATATACAAGCAACCCCTGAAGCTCAACTCCAGAAAAATAAATGACCCAACCAAAAAATGGGCCAAAGAACTAAACAGACATTTCTTCAAGGAAGACATACAGATGGCTAACAAACACATGAAAAGATGCTCAACATCACTCATTATCAGAGAAATGCAAATCAAAACCACAATGAGTTACCATTATACGCCAGTCAGGATGGCTGCTATCCAAAAGTCTACAAGCAATTAATGCTAGAGAGGGTGTGGAGAAAAGGGAACCCTCTTACACTGTTGGTGGGAATGCAAATTAGTACAGCCACTATGGAAAACAGTGTGGAGATTTCTTAAAAAGCTGGAAATAGAACTGCCATATGACCCAGCAATCCCACTTCTGGGCATACACACCGAGGAAACCAGATCTGAAAGAGACACGTGCACCCCAATGTTCATTGCAGCACTGTTTATAATAGCCAGGACATGGAAGCAACCTAGATGCCCATCAGCAGATGAATGGATGAGGAAGCTGTGGTACATATACACCATGGAATATTACTCAGCCATTAAAAAGAATTCATTTGAATCAGTTCTAATGAGATGGATGAAACTGGAGCCCATTATACAGAGCGAAGTAAGCCAGAAAGATAAAGACCATTACAGTATACTAACACATATATATGGAATTTAGAAAGATGGTAACGATAACCCTATATGCAAAACAGAAAAAGAGACTCAGATGTATAGAACAGACTTGTGGACTCGGGGAGAAGGTGAGGGTGGGATGTTTCAAGAGAACAGCATCGAAACATGTATATTATCTAGGGTGAAACAGATCACCAGCCCAGGTTGGGTGCATGAGACAAGTGCTCGGGCCTGGTGTACTGGGAAGACCCAGAGGGATGGGGTGGAGAGGGAGGTGGGAGGGGGGACCAGGATGGGGAATACATGTAAATCCATGGCTAATTCATTTCAATGTATGACAAAAGCCATTGCAATGATGTAAAGTAATTAGCCTCCAACTAATAAAAATAAATGGAAAAAAAAAAGAAAAAAAAATCCTAAGGAATGCAGAGGGAAAAAAAGTTTGTCCTTTCCTTCTCCTTGAGAATTCCAGACCCCTCTCTCCTTGGGCACCCCTAGACTTCTTATCAACCTGCCTAGAAAACGACTCTCTCAGGAGGATATAACTACAGAAGTATCAATACTAGGTTTGTCACATAAGAATATGTTTGTTACTTTCATTTTCTCAATATGGTTCTAACATGGGGATATGATAAGTACGCTCAATAGATTAGAAACCTTGTACTACTTGGGCCAGAGTGGAAGTAAAAGAGAAGTGATCACATTAGGATATATTGTTTATGTAGAGCCAGTAAGATTTGCTGACAGATTGAATACCAGCATGAAGGAAAAAGTCAGTGATAGCTGCACAATTCTTGGCTCAAGTAAGTTGGAAGGATGGAAATACCAATGAAGAGATGAGGGAAGATTTCCTATAGAGTTGATTTCAAGAGGGAAGAGGTGTCTGGTAGTCAATGAGAAAGAAATATTGAATTGGCAGTTAAAAAGAGAGATTTAAGTCAGTGATTAGGTATCCCCAGCTGGTAATTAATGCTGCTGAAACTGATGAGATCATCAAAAAATTGGACAGAGAGAAGGAGGGCAAAGATTGAGCCTTAAGGCATTATAAATTTCAGAACTTAGAAAGATGCCTTTGTAAGGCGTTATTTTGTCTTAATCATGGTTCTTTTTCTTTAATATTCCATTTATAAAATTCCCAATCAATACCTATAAGAGGAGGTATTTGATCATCATTACAAGGTGAGAGAAGAACATGGTACTACAAGCCAAGACTTGGCCTCTTAAATTCGAATTAATGAATATTAAATAAAACTATATCTTCATTTCCTCAGCTGTATTAGCCACATTTCAAGTACTCATCATATGGCTGGCTGGTGGCTGTTGTAGTGACTAGCATAGACATGGAGTGTTCACTTCATTGCAGAAAACTCTGTTGGACATCACTGACCCGGATTGGGATTTTGTGCTGGTTAGGAAAGGTTACTTCTTCCCAGAGAAATGCCGCCTGGGTGTGGAGCCTGCATTTATCTCTGTCTGTGGCAACCCACTCCAGTACCCTTGCCTGGAAAATCCCATGGATGGAGGAGCCTGGTAGGCTACAGTCCATGAGGTCGCAAAGAGTCAGACAAGACTGAGCGACTTCACTAAGCCTACAGCAGCTCTGAGTCGGAGATTTCTAGGCAGCATGAAAATTCTTGGATGGTTGAGATAGTCTAGGAAAGTTGAGAGAAAGGAAATGAAAAAGGAAAGTGCTAGGAACGGTGATGTTGCACAGAGCAAGCTCAGAAAATTTAGAGGCAGTTTGGAAAATTTGTCTGCAACCTAGAGTCTGACTCGGTATACTTCAAAATGGGAACGCCTTCCCTACTAAATACCAACAGGAACTGATTTCTATATGCACTATGAAAATGTCTTCTTCTTTGATATGTTTTACATGGTGCCTCTTTACTTTCCTTTTTCACTCTTAGAAATCTGTGTCTCCTTAAAACATCTTCAAGTGGATTGCCAAGTGCACGCTTTAGAAAGAACAAAGCTTTTTCTGGTTTTAGTCTACAAAACTGCCGGCACAGTGTCCCAGGTAATCAGTGCAAGCTCTTTCTTCTGATCAAGGTCAACAAATGGGTGAGAGGGTTTTGCATTTCACATCTCAATATGTGCTTCTGCTGTCCAGTGTTCTGCCATTCCTCAGTCTATCACAATGCTGATTTCTTGGGAGAAGAACTGGACATTGTACACGTGGACGGGCATAAAGCCTGCCAGAAAACATGTACCAACAGCATCCGCTGCCAATTCTTTACCTATTCTCCATCTCAAGAATCATGCAACGGAGGGAAGTAAGACACATGTCAAGTCCCATAGACGCTCCTGTCCCAGCTTGTTGAGAGATGCATTATGTTTATACCATTTTGCTTCCAACCTGCAGGGGTAAATGCTACTTAAAACTTTCTGCAAATGGATCTCCAACGAAAATACTTCATGGGACAGGAAGCATCTCTGGATACACGTTAAGGTTATGTAAAATGGATAATGGTGAGTTTAATGTCACTTGAAAAAAGTAATAACCTGAAGGAATTATTTTATACTGAGTATGTCATGACTAAGAGAATCAATAATAGCCACAGAGGGGAGAAAATTAGTACAACAATGAATCTAGTTGCAATTTTCTGTTATTTTCACTGCTGTCAATCAGCCTGACCTGTTTTAAAGGTAAATATTGGGCTTTAACTAAACTCTGCATTGCCTGGCATTAATTAAATATATGTTATAATTCCTGGGTCAAGAAGATCCCCTGGAGAAGGGAATGGCAACCCACCCCAGTATTCTCGCCTGGAGAATCCCATGGGGGATTCTCTATATCCCACCAGGCTAGGTGGGATATAGCCCACCTAGCGTGGTGAGCTATAGTCCATGGGGTTGCTAAGAGTCAGACACCACTATCATTTTTCGCTTAAACATTTTATAATTTGATACATTTATATAACCAGTATTTCCTGGTGAGGCTCAGGCTTAGTTAACATTTTTATATCTGTTTGTTGATATCAAGGTCAATGATCTTTCTTATTATCCTTTATAATAGAAATATCAACCAGCCTCTTAATTAGTCATTTTCTTTCTATTTGTTGTTACTTGATCTTTAATTGAAATATAAATAATCATCTTATGTTTGGAAAATTATGTTATCTATGTAAGAAATACTCAGTAACTCCTTCTCCAGGGCCTTCAAATTTCCTGCAAGTGTTCAGAGTATTTATGAATATTAGCAAAAGTTACAATAAAACCTTATTAACTTGTAACAATGAGTATGAGAGAGTGGAAATAAAAAGATTATCTATATTAAGCAAGACCTATAATAATATAAAAAGGATAATGGCAGATCAGCAGTACTTCCATTCCAGTGGCCAGTTTCTGAGCATAGTAACAAAAGATGGTTTGTAGGCAAACAAGACTGTCTAAGAGATAGAAAAGGAGCATTCTCCCTACACGCATTCCTCCCTAAATTATCATAATCTATGACGACTTTAGTGTTCACTGATTTACATACACTGCATGTTTCTGGACTTTTATTGCTTACTGCCCAATAATACAATGCAATATAAATTAAGTTGCAGCTGAGATTTAATGAGTGAAATGGAAGTGATAATTATGCTTTGTAGTAGATTTCAAAGTATGAAAAACTTCTGTGTCAGAAATACTGGCTCTACTGATAGGTGAAAAAATAAATCCTGAGGTTGTGAGAACTTGTTTTGTAGAACACGCAATGTTACATTGTGTCCAATAGTACCCTTCTAGCTGGGAAATTCTGCCTTCCTAGAGTTTAGAGGGGCTCTGATGGGAGTCTGGACGATTCTAGCTTCTTCACAAAGACAGTCAGTCGAGTTGTATCTCATACCTTCTCTGTTTTCCTTAATAATAAATTTACCCAAGACAAAAAGGAGCATTTACAATATTTCTGTTGTCCTGGTGCTACCAAGCAATAGAAAGGATGCAGCCGATTTTATCGTCAGTAATGGTGACATAGTTTTAAAAAGGGGAGGCAGCACTTACACCTTAAATTGCAGAATCCATTCTCTACCCTCCTTCCTTCATTATGTTCCTTTCTAATGAATCTATGGACTCTGGTCTCTAAAGGTTGCAGACTATATCAGGTGTAGACTGACAGCTAAACAGAAAATATAAGGTAAAGGAAAATAAAATCTTATGTCTTTTTATGCACCTTCTGATATAAGTGAAATGAATTGATTACGTTTTGCTGCATTAGATTAAAAATGTGCTAATATACAAGCGAATATCTGACTGAGATGTTTATATCTTATACTGTCATTGGTTGATACTATAACTTAACTTTCTGAAGACACAGAGCAATTGCCATCCAAAGAAACATCTATTAGTTCAAAACGCAAGGCCAAGATGGGTATTTTCAGCACTTTGAACTGAGAAACAAACACCGAGATCTATAACTCATCTTAACAAGGTCTTTATTTACGTGTTGTTAATATAGTTTAGTTACTGCTGACATATTAATTTTCCAAGTCAAGAAAGAAACTGAGGGGTGAGTTTGAATCAAAGTCCTCGGAAATATCAAGGGTCGCGGATAAAACCCCAATCTGTCAACAAGACCAAAGGGCAGAAGCGGTTCACAAACAAGAAGAGAAGCCGGGCTGGGACGTGGGTGGAGCTGGAGTGACTGGCCCAGAGGGCAGCTGGGGTGGGAGGGCAGTGGGAGGAACTGGACAGAGGCTGCAAAGTGAGTGCACGATGCTCACCTTTAACCAGTTCTCAAACATTGGTGAGGCGGATCAAAACTTAGGTGGGTAGGGTCCACTGTCAGAGTTTCTGATTCACCACGTCCAAGGTGGGGTTCAGGAGTGATCATCTCTCACTAATTCCCAGGTCATGCCTGGGAGGTCGGTCTGGGGGCCACACTTGACAACTGTCGCTTTAAAAGAACTGCTGGGGTTGTCGTTTGAGGGAGGGTAAGCCTTGAAGTCCCAGAGGAGGCATTATTTTGTTGTTGTTCAGTCCCTTGGTTGTGTCCGATGGTTTGTGACCCCATGGACTACAGCATGCCAGGCTGCCCTGCCCTTCTCTATTATTTGAGGCATTATTTGGGGATGTGCAATTACAAGGTGACCCACCCATTCAGGTTTTATGTTCATATTGTGCTTTGCCAACTTGAGTCTAAAGTATCTTCAAGTGAAGGTCACGGTACATTATTGAACCCAGGGAAGGTGTTCTTCCCCATGAGCCTGAAGGAACGTAGCTACCAATGGAAAATGAAGATTTAGGAAGTTACTCACTGCAATCCTTCTGTTGTAGTGTGTACAACCAAGATCAAGACCAGAATTGTTGGAGGAACCCAGTCTGTTCATGGAGAGTGGCCATGGCAGATAACTCTGCACGTGATATCACCCACCCAGAGACACCTATGCGGAGGCGCCATCATCGGAAACCAGTGGATATTAACAGCTGCTCACTGTTTCGACGAGTTCAGTACCATTGCTGTTTACTCCTTCACCACGCTCACGCATATATTAATATTAAATCTACTCTAGTATTTTATTTAAAAGATGTAAACTTTCCTATTTGCTAAAGTAATTTTCTGTTTTAGTGGGGGGAAAAAAGCAAAAAGGAAGAACTGTTCATATTCTATACCAGCATCAGAAGAGGTGCAGGAACATGGCTCCATAATATTCTACTTTTCTGGTTAAATGTACACACATCCCCAGGGGACTTCTGGTTACTTCTTGTTGAGTATATCACCTTCTGTGCACTGTCCTGGGCTTTGGATTCAGGAAACTCAAAGAGAATTTCCCGCTTCCTGAATGTAATTTCCCATTTATTCTCCCTCTCCCCTCTGACTCTGTCTCCTCCTCCCCCGCTCCTTCTCCTCTCTCTCTCCCTACCCCTCTCCCTACCCCTCACTCTATTTCCAGACACAGAAAGAAGGGTTTATTGTACATCATCATATTGGATTTCCTACTTCAGTCATTTTCATTACCAGCCAAATATAAAAGCTCCATCGAGAGCATACAGAGTGTGTGATTCCCAGGGAATTTTAGTTGACCAGACTTCCTCTTTGCACCGCAGTATCTTCTGGGTTGTTTTTAGACTCAGATTTGTGTGGTTTTCTTGGTTTATTTTTATCAGTATGCAGCTTACTCATAACTCAAAGATTTGAGGTCAATAGTCTCTTTTAGCTTTTACATATGGGACAGTGGGATGCCAGAAAGTATGAGTGAATTTCTCAGGGTCACAGCCAATCAACAGCAGCACTGAAAGTAGAACCCAGAACTCTGTGTGTGTGTGTGTGTGTGTGTGTGTAAGGGTGGAAAAAGTATTCATTGATGTTTGTGTGTTTCATATAAGGTAAATGATAGCCCAGGACCTTCCATAAAAGAGGACTATGTGACCAAAAAATCTTAGCAGAAAATCACTTCATTCCACCTAAAAGCCCCCCACTGGCAGAAAAGATTAGCCAGCTAGGAATAGTTAGTTAAATAGCACTGTATCTCAAAAGATTGGGAATTATTTGCTAAAGGAATTCTCTTTTCCTCTATTGCTTACTCCTTAGGGTCGAGTCACCTAACGTATTGCGTGTCTATAACGGCATTTTAAATCAATCAGAAATAAAAGAGGATACATCTTTCTTTGGGGTTCAAGAAATAATAATTCATGATCAATATAAAAAGGCAGAAAGTGGATATGATATTGCCTTGTTGAAACTAGAAACCGCAATGAATTACACAGGTATGGAAAATTTTAAACAACAAGTTGTCTACAGTGATGCCCAGCTTCACACTCCCAGATTCATGGCCTGACTCTGGCAATCCCTCCACGTATTACTGCCATTAAAAAGGGAGAGGGGCTGCAAAGCTCCCCTTTCAGTCCATTAAGACTGAATGCTAGGAACTTCCCTGGTGGTCCAGTGGTTGAGATTTTGCCTTGCAATACAGAGGGTGCAGATCCCTGGTCTGGGAGTTAAGATCCCACATGCCACATCCCACAGGCAAAAAAAATCAGAGCATTAACAACAGAAGCAATATTGTAACAAACTCAATAAAGGCTTTAAAAATGGTCCACATTAAAAAACATGCATATTCATATAAACGACCAACATGCTGTCCTGATGATTGAATCTACTTTTTTGTGGGGAGGGGTTAAAATGGCAAGTTTTCTTCAGATGCACAGGATGACATGACTTCATAATATATTGTAATATTAAAGATGACTTATATCTCCTTTTTAAGGAAGAAAGGATGGCAGGTCAGGAATGATGAAGCAGCTTCTATAGGATCCCAGACCTCATGAGAGTGACAGAGTTAATGGAGGAGGCTCCCTCTTGTTCCCTCCTCCTTAATATGTGACAGATAACTCTGAACGTGAGGGATGCAAATGTATGACAAAGAGGCAAAACAAAAAACCCGGATATAATAAACTGAGAACACACCCTAATCATAGAAAGTGAAGGAAGAGTCTTTCCTGGGAAATGTGATGTATTCTGTTTCTGATAACTAAACTGTGATTTTTTAAATCTAGATTCTCAACGGCCCATATGCCTACCTTCCAAAGGAGATAGAAATGTGATGTATACTGAATGCTGGGTGACTGGATGGGGATACAGAAAATTAAGAGGTAAGAAACTATATTTCTCTGTGTGCTATAGCTGAAGATACAGAACACAGTTTAATCACAATGTTTTCTGCTATCTCAAGTTGCACAGCTAAAATGAGAGTAAAATAATAACATTATTCAATTGCAGAAAGTGTATTCATAAGGAAGGAAAGGCGAAAATCACCCAAATGAAGATGATACCTTGCCTGATTGGAAATTTTAAATATGACAATCTCTTTAAAGACTCATTACTTTTAATGAAATTTAATTCAAAACCTAGCACTTTTCAGTAGACGTCTTAGCCTGCTATCCAATTATTTTCTCTGGGAAATAATTCCAGTTAGAGCCATAATTAATTTTGAGCTTAATTAACATGAATAAAATGCTACAATAGTGAGAATAACATCTTCTCTACACTCTGTACGGAGAAGGCAATGGCACCCCACTCCAGTACTCTTGCCTGGAGAATCCCATGGATGGAGGAGCCTGGTGGGCTGCTGTCTATGGGGTCGCACAGAGTCGGACACGACTGAAGCGACTTAGCAGCAGCAGCTACACTCTGTAATTACAAAAGGTCTGTGAACTAAACCTGAGTTTTTTTCCTTCTGGATTTTTACATAGGTGTGGTTTTGATTTTTAAATATATGTATATATATTTAAATTTATATTATATGTATGTGGTTATTCTATTTATAAACCAAAAAAAATTTTTTTTCAGACAAAATACAAAATACTCTCCAGAAAGCCAAGGTACCCTTGATGACAAATGAAGAATGCCAGGCAGGATACAGAGGGCACAGAATAACCAATAAGATGGTCTGTGCAGGCTACAGAGAAGGAGGGAAGGACGCCTGTAAGGTAACCGTGTCTTTGGCCACTTGAAAAACTCAAATTAGAATGTTTAATGCAGTAAACTTTTTAAAAATTTTAAATTAATTTTTTTTACTAATTTATTTATATTTGGCTGCGCTGGGTCTTCGTGGCTGCGTAGGGGCTTTCTCTAGTTGTGGGGCCCGGGGACTACTCCTGAGTTGTGGTGCTCGCAGTGCTCAGGCTCAGTAATGTGACACATGGGCTCAGTCGCTTGGCAGCATGTGGGATCTTAGCTCCCAGACCAGGGATTGAACCCGAGTCCTCCCTGCATTGGCAGGTGGATTCTTAACCACTGGGCCACCAGGGAAGTCCTCTGTTTGGTGCATTTTGTAAAAAACAGTCTTCTGCCAATGAGCAGGGAACACAGTGGATTTGTTTTTTCCTTACCCTAAAATCTGCCGTGGGTAGACTGGTGTGGGGGGCAGGTCATCTGCTTCTTTGAAGTTTATTAAAGGGCCAAGACAGAATCTCAGGTGACATCACTCCCAGGACAACGCATTTAAGATGCGAAGTGTCTGAACTGATCTGCCCTTTTCTTTTCCCTGTTTGTCACAGGGGGACTCGGGGGGGCCCCTGTCCTGTAAACACAACGAGGTGTGGCACCTGGTGGGCATCACGAGTTGGGGTGAAGGCTGCGGCCAAAGGGAGCGGCCAGGTGTTTACACCAACGTGGTCGAGTACGTGGACTGGATCCTGGAGAAAACGCAAGGCCCTTGAAAGGATCCTCAGAGACCATTCCTGAAGGGTAAATCAGATCATTCCCTGAAGAGGGTTTGGATTTCACTGAAGAAGGCACTGCGCCTTCATTTTCCTCCACAGGCTACAATTCTGAGACTGTAACAGATGGAGGGGCTGGGTATTGGTGAGAGTCCACCAAGAAAAACCAAACTGTCAGGATTCCTAAGCTCCCAGGGTTCTGCGATGATCAGAGTCTGACTTCAGTATCCAGTCTCTGTTCTGTTGGCTATACCTCTTCTAAACCAAAGAAATACTATAAAGATTAAGATATTTAAAGATGAAAGCATAGCCAGATGGACCAGAAAAGAATCCTTTGGTGGCGGCACCAAAGGATCAGGTAGAACTGCTCAAAGAAACCACTGTAAAAAGATGTGGTAAGTGAAATATGCGAAGAGGAGAAAATAGGAACCGAGACAGCCATCATCCATTTGCTAGGTTCTGCGCTCTGTGTATGGGAAACTCTTTTGGGAAGGAAGAACTTAACTGAATTTGATGGCCGGTTTCAGGATAATCAAGAATTCTTGTCGTTAATTTTTAAGTGGGTTTGGGTGGAGACAAGCTATGAATGAGTGTGAATGTGGACTCCAGAATTTCTGTAAGGAAAAGGATTAAAAGCAGCAATCCACCTGAAGTGGGTCTTCCGTGCATGGGCTTCATCTGCATTTGACACAGTTTTGGGCACAGGAGGGCTGGTGAAGATGAGGGGGGTAAGCTAAAGACTTTCTAAGACAACCACACTCTGTGAGTGTGAGTTCACAAATCTACATTTGTGGATGATGAATGTATTGGACAGAAATCAATGTAACATATACCAATCCTACAGGTGAAAATGATTTGGGAACACATAGATGGGTACAGTAGTGTCTTCAGCATTTTCAAAGCAGCACCTTATAATCTCAGTACTGGGATGTTCCCTGCCATGCAAATATTTATATGGTGATTGTTTTTGATATAGTCTAATAATCTAAAATTTGCACTATCACCACCAGTTTTCAATCCATGCCAACAACCTGTGTCAAGATTCTATCTAATATGCACAGTATTGATTGAGCAGACTGAACTGGGGGGCATATGGTGGTGAACCAGTCAATATCTCTACCTTCCTGAAGCTTCCAGTCTGGTTAGCAGGAGCCACAAAAAGAAAATAATTACCATGTATAAAATACAGAATTTTAAATGGAAATGAGGAGGCAGCATAGTGTTCTACGAGAAAGAAAGGGGAAAGAGAATTTGGAGCAGGTTCAAAGATTGGGATAAAAAGGAATTTTCCGAGGAAGACACAGAAAAAACAAAACATAAAACACCAAATCTAAAAGACTGGAATGGCATTAAGATCTTAGCTACCATCCCACCATATTAAAGACTCAGGGAAACTTTGCTCCATTTTGACGAAGAGGCTTGTCCCGACTGGCCCTGCTGGACCCCCTCCTCCCTTCACCCCCTGGGTCCTCCTCATCCTTTCATCTTCTGTTCTTATGGGCTTTCCCCACGGCCTACATCAGACTGGGGCAGAACGGGCCTGTCCCTGTTCTTGTGCAGGAGACTTTCCCACATTCTGATTAAGGTCTTCGAAGTTCACATGTGGAGACTTCACTACTGCCCTAGGCTCCAGAAGCCATGAAGGGTGGCGCTGTGCTGGGGACGTGGTTTCCTCTCTCAGCCCGCCTCTCCCCAAGACAGCCGGAGGCAGCCTGGTACCCTGGGGTGGGGGGGTTTTGGGGGGCCCCTCCCAGCATCCATCCCACTTCCCTCCAAGAGTGTGTATGCAGTGTTCATCCATCAGAGCAGGCAAGCTTCTTTCTTTCCTTCTGTCCTTCCCAAGGCCATCTACAGACTGAAACTAACTCTTCCAAGCAATTTTTCAACTAGGAATGTGCCTGTGTGTGTGTGTGCATGCTCAGGTCTAGGGAGGCGGGCGGGAATGAATGAAAAGGAATGTTTCTGATAACCACAACACTTCACACTCACTCAGCTTCACTGCCTGTCTGGGTCTTGAGGATCCCTCACCTTCAGATGCAGATTTAGTTTCCTAGGGCTTGGGTAACACATTGCCACAAACTGAACGCTTTAAAATAGCAGAAACTCTTTCTCTCACAACTCTAAAGGCTGGAAACCTGAAATCAAGATTCGGCAGGGTCATGCTTCCTCCAAGGCCCCCAGGGGCGGTTCCTTCCTGGTCTCTAAATTTTAAATTATGGCCATCTTAGATCTCTGGGGGGCTTCCCTGATAGCTCAGTTGGTAAATAATTTGCTACAATGCAGGAGACCCCAGTCCGATTCCTGGGTCGGGAGGATCCCCTGGAGAAGGGATAGGCTACCCACTCCAGTATTCCGGCCTTGGAGAAATCCATGGACTGTATAGTCTGGGGGGTCTCAAAGAATTAGACTCGACTGAATGACTTTCACTTTCATTTAGATCCCCAGGGCACTCGGGTGTGAAAGCAGAGTCCTAAACACTGCACCACCAGGGAATTCTTCAATTAGGAGCTTCTGGAGCAGCCATTTAGGCAATCTCTTAAGGATATCATTTCTATCATTTCATTCGATCCAAAAGAGTTAAAATGGACATCCTAGAGTTAACAGCTTGCTAAGTGGATATCCTAGACTTAAAATTCAGTCAGCCCATCATCCAGCAATTACTGATGTTAATAATAGGAACATCATTTTTGACTAACAAGAGTAAGTGAAAGTGTTAGCCGCTCAGCTGTGTCTGACTCTTTGAGACCCCATGGACTATATATAGCCTGCCAGGCTTCTCTGTCCACAGAATTCTCCAGGCAAGAATACTGGAATGGGTTTCCATTCCCTCCTCCAAGGTATCTTCCCAACCCAGGGATTGAACCTGGTTCTCCTGCATCTGCAGGCAGAGTATCTACCGTCTGAGATACCAGGGACGCCCAACAAGAGAAGAAAATCATGCAACTGAGATTATTACAATATGTCCTTCTTGCAGAATGCCTACTGTGTGCTTTACTTCTTGTCATAACTTGTACTCCTTGTTACCACCATGTAAGACAAGGTATTATTATCCCCATTATAGCATAATATCATGTTGTTGCTTTCACAGGGGGAAAAAAAAGGACAAAACACCTTCCAAGTATTTTCCTCTCAATTCTCCACTTTCCCTCTAGATGGCACCTTGGCCTCATTTTAAACCCTAGGATTTGACAGAATGCACTTAATTTATGATATATGTAAACAAATTCTGTGTATTGATATATATCTGGAAACACTAAATCAAATCAACTGCTTCAATTCAAATTCGCATGACTTTTCAAATATAATGGTTGCAAATATCTACTCCCTAGACAGTAGTTTGTCCTTTAAACCGTGTGCTCCAGAGCCCCCCAGCTTTGGGGGCTTCACTTACCCTTGGTGACCAACTACAGGAGCCCCCTGCAGTAGGTGACACTGTCCCTGGGTACCATGGTGCCCTCCCAAAGACCTCTAGTGCTGCAGACGGAGTGCTTACCTGTCTTCTAAAAGGCCATCCCCCGTCACTTGCCATCTGGTTGAGTCACATGGCTTGGGACTTCTTTTTTAAACAATATTTATTCATTTATTTGGCTGCACTGGGTCTTAGTTGTGGTAGGCAGGATCTTTAGTTGTGGCATACCCGCTCTTAGTTGCAGCATTTGGGATCTAGTTCCCTGACCAGGGATCAAACCCAGGCATCCTGCATTGGGAGCACAGAGTCTTAGCCACTGGACTACCATGTATGTCCCTCGGGAACTTTTCTTGCCGTCTCTCTGTGGTTTCCTTTCAGCTGCTGTAACCCTTTCTCCCAACCCTCAGCTGTACGTGTGTCCCCCGTTCCCCGCACCTTGCTTGGTCCACGTGTGAACACAATCCCCTTCCCTTGATTATTCAGAGTATTTTAAAGATTACACTGCAATATTGAAAACAAACAAGCAGAAACCTTTGAATTCTGAAGGCTTGGTGAGAGAAAAAAAGAAAAGAGAAATACACCTCCCCTCAAAACACACACAGACACACACGCACGCACAGCCCACATCTGCAAGTGGGTAAAGATACAGTGGGCTTCCTTGGTTGTTCAGATGGTAAAGCGTCTGCCCGCAATGCGGGAGACCCGGGTTCGATCCCTGGGTTGGGAAGATCCCCTGGAGAAGGGAATGGCAACCCACTCCAGTACTCTTGCCTGGAAAATTCCATGGACGGAGGAGCCTGGTAGGCTACAGTCCATGGGGTCGCAGAGTCGGTCACGACTGGGCGACTTCACTCACTCACTCAAGAATACAGTTACTCCAAGACTCCGTGAGTCCAGTTGTTCCACGGAGGTTTCCCTACTGGCTGGGTGTCTCCTTGAACCCCCCAGCTTGCAGAGACCAGTGGGCTTGGGGCGGAAGCTTTTACTGTTTTGTAGCTTTGACGAAGAAAGCCTCTTAGGGAGGCTTACCATTAGCATTGGGTACATTAGCATTTGGGTTTGTCCACTACATGGGACAGAGAGACAGTCTGAGGTACAAACCTGCCCTGAGTCATGGACAGTATTTAACAAGCCAGCTAGCTGACTTAGGGACTTGAAAAAATTTTAAAAACCCGCGGGAAGAAAGTCTAGGGAAGGGGGACGTAGGTGCAAGAGAACAGTGTGAAACCATCAGAGCTTCCACGTGTGCCCACCAGAGGGCGTAGTCATTCTGTGAGCCGAAGACTAATCTAGAATTCAGAATCTAGAACTGAGACCCTTAAGAAGACTCATGTCACTCTCCTCTCAGCTCTACTTTAGCCTGTTTTCAATCTGTAGGCCTCGAGTTTTCAAAAATTACTGGAGTCCAGTCTTAGCTTGAGCATCACATAACAAAATTGCAATTCCTACTAATCAGCGATACTTAGGTGCTGTGGAGGGCACGTTCTGTAGAGCCCCCAAACAGTTATGGATACTACCTTCCAGGCTTTTTTTGGGCTCCCACAAATCTGTCTCTGACTCCCACAAAGCTCTTTAGAAACTTCTGTCCCCCTAGCTGTGCCTGGACATCGTAGGGATGGACTCGAAACACCTCCGCAGTTCAGCCACTATATCACTAAACTAGAATCGACTTCTGTGGAAGAAAAAAAGGGGGAGGGGGACTTTTAGAAATTGAGTTCAGATGGCGGCCCCCTGGTAAGAGGGGCCTGTTCATCAGATATTTCAGTGCCCTGAAATATCTGGGGGGGAATAAGGCCTCCAGAAGTCATGTTATTCCAACATAAGCCATTAAATTGTTTGTTTGGCATAATTTGGTCTAAGATTTACTTTCTCTGTCACATACCATCTTATAGGGAGTTAGTGGGAACAGGGAGTATAAAGCAAACACTTTCCTCTAACTATGAGGGTTGTTGTTTAATTGTTACATCATGTCTGACTCTTCGCAGCCCCATGGACTGCAGCACGCCAGGCTCCTCTGTCCTTCACTAAATTCATGTTTAGTTTTGCTAAACATGTTTGCTAAATTTATGTCCACTGAAGCTATCTAACCATCTCATCCTCTGTCATCCGCTTCTCCTTTTGCCTAAGCTTTCCCAGCATCAGAGTCTTTTTCAATGAGTTGGTTCTTTGTATCAGGTGGTCAAAGTACTGGGACTTCAGCACCAGTCCTTCCAGTGAATATTCAGGCTTGATTTCCTTTAGGACGGATAGCTGTTATCTCCTTGCTGTCCAAGGGACTCTCAAGAGTCTTATCCAACACCACAATTTGAAACCATAGATTCTTTGGTGCTCAGCCTTCTTTATGGTCTATTACATCCATACGTGACTACTGGAAAAACCATAGCTTTGACTACATGGAACTTTGTTGGACTGTTTACCAAAAGAACCTGACATTTACATCTGACAGCATGATTTATCTCAATTTTTAATCCAGATCTGGATTCCATGTGCTTGTGTTTCATGTTGAATTTTCCCATCTGTTTTCAAATTTGACATTGCTCTGAAGTTTCCCTTTTGAGCTATGTTAATTGGGTTCTAGAAATATAAAGATGACTGGAAAGAATTAAGTCAGAATATGAGCAGTGCATTGGGATTGTGGAGGGGATTTTTGTTCATCTCTCTCTCTGTATTTTGATGTATTTTACAAGTTTCCTCAAGAAATATGTCTTATATTTCTATGCAGAAAATACCATTAAAATTCCTAAATATTTAAGACTTAAATTTTTATTCTTGATCATTTGAACATGAACATAAGCCAAAAGCTTCCCCCAGTTAAAAATAGGAAGCTTTTAGCACTGAAACACATAATGAAATATTTAATGGGCATTTTATATGACTGGATCCACTGATAGCAAAATAACCACATTGTCAGACATACATAAAAAAAATCTTTAAAGAAATTGACATTATTTTAAAGTTCATGAATTAGTTATATTTTAGATTTATTCTACTTTTGATCATAGGGATGAGTCGCAACCATTGTTCTGCTGTCCTCTCGTTTGGGGTCTCATTTCGGTGCCCCTTGCCTCTTTGATTATTAGAGCATATAAGGAATGTCTGTAGAAGCAGTAGATGCTTCTCACGGAAAGTGAAGTGAAAGCTGCTCAGTCGTGTCCAACTCTTTGTGACCCCATGGACTATACAGCCCATGGAATTCTCCAGTTCGGAACACTGGAGTGGGTAGCCTTTCTCTTCTCCAGGGGATCTTCCCAACCCAGGGATTGAACCCAGATCTTCCACCTTGCAGGCGGATTCTTTACCAGCTGAGCTACCAGGGAAGCCCAGGAATACTGGAGTGGGCAGCCTATCCCTTCTCCAGCAGATCTGCCTGATCCAGGAATCGAACTGGGGTCTCCTGCATTGCAGGCGGATTCTTTATCAACTGAGCTATCAGGGAAGCCCCTGCTTCTCACGGAAGACAGGCTGTTTTCCTATGGCTGCTAAGGGTGATGTAACGATCCACACTGTGAGCAGAAGAAAAAAGGCTGATTTCCAGAGAGCGAGGCTGGTTTTTGGCAATGCTGATGCCCTGATCAGAATGAGATGAGACCGTGAATTCCCATCCCGACAAAGGAAATTAAAAAATCCAATTTGAAACCAGCTTTGACTAGACCTTGTTGCAAAATGAAAGAATGATATGAGCTAAATAATTCAAGCCTTTATTTAGAGCCACAGGTGCTGTGTGGGACATTGCCTCTCCGCTGGCAAGAGCCTGGCCTAGGAATTCAGCTGCTTCATCTTCCCTGAGTTCTAGCCTCCACCTGCCACCCCAGAAAACTGCCGGCACCTGCAGATCCCCAAGAGCTCACCTTCTGGAGTTGGGGGGCTGGTCTGTGGAGCCAAAACTCCTCTCCCCACTGCCTTACTTTTGGTTCATCAAAAATAGAACATTAGAGAAGATTCTTGATACTGTTCATAATGGAATAAAACTTGATTCTTTTCTATTGGGGGAAAAAAAAATGGTTGTCCAGCTCTGGTGAGGTTGTCAGAGAAGCACAGGAGGAAATTTCTGTGGAGAGGTTACATTTTTGCATTTGACTTCCCTTTTAGTTTAGTTGGTAAACAATCTGCCTGCAATGCAGGAGACCAGGGTTCGATCCCTGGGTTGGGAAGGTTTCTTAGACAAGGAAATGGCAACCCACTCCAGTATTCTTGCCTGGAGAATCCCATGGATAGAGGAGTCTGGCGGGCCACAGTCCATGGGTTGCAAGAGTTGGACCCGACTTAGCAACTGGGCCACCACAACCATCCATCGTGGAGTTTCCTCCAGGCTCTCCCATCCAGTCACCTGGCCCTGCCCTATATATATAGAACCTCTTGTGCTCCAGGGCTGACAGTGCTGCAGTCACACAGGTCTCTCTCCAGCTGACCTGGAGTCCTGGTGGCTAGTCAGCTACATCCTTCTCCCAGTGATTGATCTAACGTAGAAGTAGAAATTGGCTTTCCAGGTGGTGATAGTGGTAAAGACCCCACCTGCCAAAGCAGGAGACATAAGAGATGCAGGTTCCATCCCTAGGTTGGGAAGGTCCCCCGGAGGAGGGCATGGCAACCCACTCCAGTATTCTTGCCTGGAGAACCCCATGGACAGAAGAGCCTGGCATCCATGGAATCGCACAGAGTCAGATTTGACCAAAGTGACTCAGCACAGCACAGACCTGGGTCTTCGTCGCTGCACGCGGCTTTTCTCTAGTTGCAGCGAGCGGGGGCTCCTCTCCAGTTGCGGTGCTTGGGTTTCTCATGTGGTGGCTCTCGTGTTGCAAAGCACAGGCTCTGGGGCACATTGGCTCCAGCAGCCGTGGCTCCCGGGCTTAGCTGCTCCGGGTGTGTGGGATCTTCCTGGAGCAGGAATCAAACCTGTGTCCCCCAGGGAAGCCCTTAAATATGTATTGCATGAATCTTCTCGCAGCTTGAGGTTGTCAATTTTATGTTCTTTAGTAAGTCCTTTGATGTACTTTAAGTAAATAATATAATATAATTCTATATCAAACTATCAGTCTTTTATGATTAGTAGTTTTAGGTCTTACTGAAAGTGCTTCTTCACTATTAATTTTATAAAATTGTTTTCTAAAATATCTGAGGTTTTTTGGTATCACATTGAAGTCTTTCATCCATCAGGAACTTATTTTGGTATATGGTATGTAGAAGAATCAATTTTCCCCACATGGATAACCAACTGTCCCAGGGCTGTTTTGAAACCTTGATCCTTTTTTCAGTTATCGGCAATGCCACCATCACTTATATTTTGGTTTTTCATGTGTGTGAGTCTAGTTCTCTGCTCTTTATTGCGTTCCTCTTCTCGATTTGTTGATTTTAGTACCAGCATCACATTTTCTTAGTTGACCATGGCTTTGCAGTATGTCTTCCTCTCTGGTAGGAAATGATTTCTCAAACGGTCCTTCTTAGCATCTTGTCTATTCTTATGTGTTTGCTAGTCCATGTTATTTATAACCATACTGTCAAGTTTCTTAAAAAAAAAAAAAAGAGCCTATAGGTATTTGACTAGAATTGGGTTGACTCTAGATTAATTTGGAGAGTGAATACTACTGAGTATTCTGTTTGGAGTTTTATGATACTGGGTGTTCCTACCTAGGAACACAGAATTTTTTTGTTGCTTTTGTCTTCATTATTGTCCTTCAGTACAGTTTTTAGTGTTCTCCATGCTATCCTAAACATCTCTCACTAGATGTATTTCTGAGCATCTGGCTTTTGTGGTAGATTTTACTTGGAAAGCCATCTGGGCCTGTTAATTTCTCTGTGCAAAGAATTTTGATTACAGATTCAATCATTTTAATGCAAAAATATTTGGTTTAATTTAATATTTGAAGAACCTGAGTGGCTGCAATGTTTTTTCTCTAGAGAGGAAGGGCATTTTCTCCTACCTGCAGCCAGGGAGCCCTTCTGCCTCAGAACCCCTTCAGCTTCAGGGAGGTGGGGGGAGTGCAGTCCGGGGGCTGCACTCACTTTCCTGCACGTTCTGCTGGCCCTGGTTTGTCTACTGGCAGCTGATCTCCAGAGGAACCTTGCTTTTATGTGAATAATGCTTAGTACGTGTGCCTCTGAAAGATGTTTAGGGCAGGCTGTAGGTGTTTCGACCCCCCACCCCCA